CTCTAATTCATTACATTTTGCTTCATTCTTGTTGGTTCTGTCTGACTAAAACATTGTTCGACTCAGTAAAAGCGGTTCTGAAGCAACCCCCTCCTACTCCCCACTCCCTGCAGACCTGCTGCTCAATCGCATCGTTTATTTTTTCTATTCCTTCATCCTGAACCTTTTTTTTTTGCTCAACAAATAACTTTGGGCCTCAGTCAGAAAAGACTGGAGGGTTTTTATACTTTTGGCCCGAGGAGGAGGAAGAAACAAACGGTGGATTTGGGTCTGTTCCCCCCCACCTCCACGTGTTTCCTCCTCGCGACGCGGCTCGTATCAAATCAGACCGTCTTTTTAAAAAATTAAATGTGGTAGATACTTTTTATCATATCTTCAGATCTACTTGGCCTAACAACACAATTTAAAAACTGTTTTGAAGTTCGAAGTCTCTACTTTTCACTCGAGAGTCAGAGAGGATGGCTCTTTACAGGTAGGGTTTTTTTCTTCCTAAACTTTATTTAGGTCAGCCAGCATTGACAACGCTCTGCGAGTGACGTAAACGGCTCTGCAACACGGTGAGGGACGCATAAATCGCACGACACAACGTATGAAATTCGTTGCCAACGCTTTTAATAATCAATTTTATCGATTCGTTGCTGCAGCCCTAAATGATTTTATGTTGAGAAATAATGGATTGTAGCTGTTTTGGTCAAAGCTTGTTCACAACATTACATGCAGTTTTGCAGCATATAAAATAAATCCAGTTTCTCTCCCCTGTGTCTGGTAGCTGTTAGAGCAGGCSCTGGTCATAGAGGAGCAGCTGCGGCGGGCGGCGTACCTGAACATGACCCAGGACCCGAGCCACCCAGCCATGGCGCTCAACGCCCGCTTCGCAGAGGTGGAGTGCCTGGCCGAGTCGCACCAGCACCTCAGCAAGGAGTCGCTGGCGGGRAACAAGCCGGCCAACGCCGTCCTGCACAAAGGTCAGCAATGATTTATAGAAACTTAAAAAACAAAAACACCTCAAGGAATTAAAACACAAACAGCCTTTAGTCAGAGCAAGTCACATTTTCCAACTGGGTCTAGAGGAAAGTGGAGCAAAAATCATGTCAGAAATAAAAAGAAATCAGCTAATTTGTTATGCAGTCGTTYCTGTTGCTGGAGTTCTCAGCTCTTGAGCTGCATTTCTCATCTTATGCTAATGAATGACTCAGCTCTGTGGGTGATTTTCATGAGGGGAGGTGATGACAGAGCAGGAGTCACAATATCCTGAAAATACATCATTATGAGCTGTACGTAAACATCAATTACTAATTAAAGTAGCATAGATACAGTAAGKAAGGTTACTGTTAAAGAGATCTCCGACTGCTAGCACATTAGCCTTCATGTGTTGTTATTGCAATATTCTACTAAAAGATGTTGTTTGTGACACAAGAAAATCCTAATAAATTAAAAAATGTACGTTTATTATATTTTTCTCTTAAGCACATTGCCATTTTGTTACTGATGCAATGCTTTCTGGGGAGGAGGATGGTGATGGGTTACAGTTGAGACTAAAACACAAAGAGTCAAGACTAAATATAAAAAATATATATTTATATTAGGGGTGCAACAATACATGTACCCGTATCGAACCGTATCAAACAGGGCTTTAGGTTCAATACACACTTGTATCAAACAATACAGATTTTTAAAATTTATTTTATCAACTTGTCTTCTGAAGATGCTCTGTGTTAAAGGATCAGTGGATCTGTGTTCGACTACTCCACATAGGCTGCATTTTTGAGTGCAGATCCACTGAGAAACTTGCTCTTTCAGTAACATTTAATTAAAAAAACTGTACTTTTGAGGTTAAACAAATGTTCATAGTTAATATAAATAAATTACAAGTTAAAAGGGGCATGGAAATTTCTCTTTTTTTGTATCGAAAAAATATTGAACCGTGAGACAAAAGTATCGAACCGAACTGTGAATTTCCTGTATTGTTGCACCCCTAATATAGTATGTGTGTGTGTGTGTATAAGGGTGCATCACCCAGAGTGATTTGCCATAAATAATACAGCAACAATAAACTATA